GTCAGACAAGGGGTTGTAGGGTCCCTGTGGCCAGGGTGGGGGATGGGGCTGGCTGTGGCAGAGTGAAGAGCTGGGGAGGTTGGGTGGAGCCTGGGGGTGGGGCGGCCTCAGCCGCTATTCAGCTCACCATGCCCCTGGCATCTAGAAAGGCCAGCTCAGCATTGCCAAATTTCTGTTTTTGTTTTTTTTAAAGGAACTGGAGATGAGACCAGTCATGCAAAATCTTCCATTATTTCTAAACAGTACTAAGTTAAAACGGTTTTGTTAAAAAAAACAATCTTGGTCATAGAAAATATGTCTGTAGCTCAAGTTTCACAGAAGGAAAGCGCAGCACGTGGTTTGGTCATCATTTAGTTACCAGCTTCTAGAACAGTGTCCAGTCCAGTGTGTCTCATCCACTGAAACTCGAAAAGTATCCGCGATTTTAAGTGAAGATCCAAACACCAAAACCAAACTCACTGCCATCAGGCTGATTCCTACCCACAATGACCCTGCAGGACCGCGTAGACTGTTCCGGTGGGTTTCAGGAACCGTAGCTCTGCACAGCAGTAGAAAGCCTCATCCGGTGGTTTCAAACTGCTGACCTTGTGCTGAACAGCCCCACCTGAACAAAGCCCCACAATTTACCCATTGAATGGATTTTTCAGAGTAATGTTATACTGTAGTTCTTCCCTGCTGTCTTCTCTCAACTCAACCATGGGGATTTTCAAACTTGGAGTACCTGTAACATCAAAGGACCCATGTGTTCATTTTACATTTAGGGGTCTTGAGGGAGGGGTTTGGGCTGGAAAATGGATGGGAACTCTGTCGCCTACACTGGTGCTCTTCCTAATGCCCAGGGAGGAGGAATCCAGAGGCTAGAAAAAGGAAAATAATAGCTCTTGACTAAAAAATCCACAATTTTTGTGTCATCTCTGGAGGTTTGTAAAGCACTTCGATTCTCTCTTTAGCATTTTCAGTACACTAGACATTGTTGGACCCATATTGTTATCTGTTTTTTTCCCCAGAGAAGATAACAACATTGACTTGTTACTGAGGAAATTGAAACTGCAAAGGAAGTGGGCTGAGGCAGGAAACTAAGTCTCTAGAAGTCTCTTTAATGTAGTGGACTGATTGGCATAAAGTGCCTTGGAGTCAGGAAAACCCTTCATCCAAATGCCAACTTTTCCACTTAATAGCTCTGAGCAGTTGACCAAGTTGTTTAGAGGCCCTGAACCTCAGTTTTCTAATCTGACTAATATTAATAATGGCCATCTCTTTCATCTCTGTTGATGGGGGGTTGACTGAAATGAGGTCCGTAATAACACTCCTGGCCAGGTGTTAGGGGGTACAGAGTAAGCTCTCGGAACTGGGAGCTCGGGGATTTGTCGTTTTAATAACCAGACTTCCAGGTTCTGGCTCAAGAGTCTGCAGATATGCTGTATGAATTGTTCTTATATTGCAACAGTCAGTTTTGCTTTAAGGTAAACTCCGAATCAATCCTAATATGTTTCTTCATGCAAAGCCTTGATATATGAATCTTTTATAGAAAAATACAGCAATCTTATTACTGTACCATATGCAGTCTGTCAAATGTAGTCCTACTTCCAATGAAGATTCAGAACCGAATCTGTCTTAATTTTAAAAATCTTTTTGTGGTAAAATATACGTAAGATGAAATTAGCTAGTTTTAAC